TTAAAATTCTGTCCCTGCCATTTATCTTGTTCACTTACTTCCTCTGAGCCTGTTTCCTCATTGGCAAATGGAAAAAGTAACAGCAAATCATCAGCTATGCAAACAAGGAAAACATCCAGTGCAGTTTCAGACACTAGGCAAGGACTTGAAACCTCTTTGAGATGAGTGTCCCTCCCTCCACTTTGCAATGAGGCCCAGGTGCTCAGCGGGGCACCTGGCGTAAGAAATAAAATCTGCTGCCGTATACTGAGTGCCTACTAGATGCCAGGCAGAGAACTATGCACTTTTGATAGAGCATCCCTAATCCTTATAGCATTTCCCCATTTTGTAGATGAGCATGTTGTGGATTCCAGAAGTGAGGTGACCTGTCCAAGGGCCCACAGTTTATACATGATTGATGCCAGGATCTGACCCCAGGATTGGGATCTGGAGTACCAAGTGATTCTGCCTGGCAGGTCAGGAAAAGCTTCACAGGAGAGGTGGTGTCTGAGCTGAGCCTTGAAAGATAAATAGGATTTGTCTAAACTGGATTCTCAACCAAGGGTGAGTGGGACTTCAAGGGATACTTGTCAATGTCTGAAAACATCTTTGGTTGCCACAACTACTGGCGGGAAGGGCAGGGTAGTCAATGCTATTGGTATCTAGTGTGTAGAGGCCTGGGATGCTGCTAAACATCCTACAATCACAGGACAGTCCCCTACAACAGACACTGATCTGATCCAAAATATCACTGTTGAGTCTGATATAACATACTACAAGTGACATTTAGTGAGCACTTACCGTGTACCAGGTGCAGTACTGAGTTCTTAAAAATGTCATCTTTAATCTTAAATCCATTACTCTCATACATCAATGAGGCATTGAGGCTCAGAGATGGTAAGTAACTTCCCAAAGGTCACACAGTCAGTAAATGGTAGAGCCAGGATTGGAACTGCATGAGTACATGTCAGAGCTCTTAACTCCTCTGCTCTGTTGCCTCTAGGGTTTTAATAAATATAAAAGTTCCAGGCCAAATCTGTTCTGATTATCTCTGGGTTTTGAGGCCTTGGGCAAGGTCCTCTCCCTCCCCTACTGCTGTTTTCCCATCTGTCAAGTGAGGTTTGCACCAAACAATCTCTAAGGCCTTGCCAGCTTTGAGTCTATAGTTCTCTAGGAGAGGTGCCTGAGCCCAGGCTCTTGGAGCCCTGGGGACAGACCCACCAGTTGCTGGGGGAGGAGAGGATGTGAGGGGAGGGTACAACCTCATTCCAAGTGCATACATAGTGATCCCTGTCTCCCACCAGGAGGAAAGGCAAGGGGGAGGTGACTCAAACCTCCCCCAGTAGCTTTCTCCCCTCCAGGGGGAGGTGACTCAAACCTCCCCCAGGAACTTCTCCCCTCCAGAGGGAGATAGGTTTCTCAGCCACCTCCTTGTCAAGTCCTGTGCTTCAGAGACCCCAAAGTAAGGACTCCTTCTTAGACAAGACAAGAAGTGTGGGTCAGGACTTCCATTCACCCAGCTGGGTCCACGAGCTACCATGGGCAAAAAGAGAAAGGATGTATTGACCCGGCCCCTACCATGTGCTATGACCTCAAATTACAAGTTCATCTCAGGTTAGCTTCACGATAATGCTGGTAGGAAGGAATCCTCACAATACTCATTTTATAGGTGAGCACAGGCAGGTTTATGTGAAGTGACTTGCTGAGTTGCACAGACGTGATGAAGGCAGATTCAGAGCCCAGGTGTGTCTGAGCCCAGAGCCGGGGCACTAGAGGGTGAGTGGCAGTCCTGGCTTTGCAATCCCCATCAAAGTTAAAGTATCTCAATAGTGTCTGAGAAAACATATGTTCAATTTCTCTTGCATTCTCCAGGATACGGAATGGAGTGCAAAAACAAACAAACAAATAAAACAAAATACACTAACTCAGATTTCCTGGGTAACAAACAAAGGAACCAAGGCATAGAAGGCAGAGACCTCTCAAGTTAGAAAGTCGGACAAGGTGAGGAAAGGGTGAATGGTGGGGGACAAATCTGCCCAGGGCAAAGAGCTGTGCTTTCTCGGCCTGACTTGGTCACTGGCAGTGCGGCTTTAGTTAGTTACATCACTTTTCCAGCTCTCAGTCTCTCCATTTATGTAATGAAGAAGTTGGACAAATAGTTTCAGACAGAGTCCCTTCAAACTCTCACAACCTGCACCCAAACCTGTCAGAGGTTCTCTCCTCTTCCCTGTTTACATCACTGCACAGCTGGGGAGATGGGGACATCAGTGCCTGGCACAAGGGATTCTAGGAGTGGAAGGCTGATGCCAGCCTAGTGCATGCCAGGAATGGATGACCCCAGAGTATCCTGCCATCATTCATCCTCTGATGGAGCCAGGTGAAAAGGAATCCATTGTGGGTTCAGAATGAAAGGGGACAGGAAAGGGGTGATAGTGAGCATGGGTTAATTTCTCCTGGGGCCAACATTCATTTCCTTGGGTTCAATTCAAATAACACTGCATAAGCATCCTGAAGACGGAAGAACTCACTATATACCATGTTGACCCAGTCATTTTCATAAAAGATTTGAACCAAGGATCTTCGCTTCCAAATGTCTACAGTCCAGGCCAGCTCAGGCCAGAGTGAGTCATTCATTCATTTATTCATTCAACAAACTTTTACTGGTGTGAACTGTGGGCCAGCCCTTGTGCCAGACTTTGGGATCATAGATATGATGAATAAGAGTCTCCCCTGTCCTTGGGGCACTGAGTCCTATGCTGGTATCCCAAGGGCATGATTGATGATGGACTATTGGATTTCAATAATCTAGCTAAACAATTGGACTTTTAAAAGTGGAAGACAGAGGATAGAAGAGGAAGGAGCGTTAGAGGGAGATTTGACTGGAAGAATAGCCAAAGAAAAGCAAAGATAAGGCATTCTGCTTCTGCAATGATTTATAGTCAACTTGATGGCACTGAACAACAACAACAACAATAAAGAGATCACAAGTCAAGGAATATGAGTAGTCTTTAGAAGCTGGAAAAGGCAAGAAAACAGATTCTCTCCTAGAGCCTCCAGAAACAAATCAGCTCTGTTGTCATCTAGCTCTTAGCCCTGGGAGGCTGTGTTGACCATCTAACCTACAGAACTGTAAGATAAATTCATGTTAAGTCACTACCTTGTGGAGTAGGGTGACTCTGTATAATAAGCACTGAACTGATAATCACAAGGTTGGAGGTTCCAACCCACCAACTGCTCTGCAGAAGAAAGATAATGCTTTCTGCTGTAAAGATTTACTGTCTCAGAAAGTCCAAGTTGTTGCTCGGTACTGTTGAGTCGGTTTCAATTCATAGTGACACTATGCAGGACAGAATGAAACACCTCCCGGTCCTACACCACCTTTACAATTGTTACGTTTGAGCCCACTGCTGCTGCCAATATGTCAATCCATCTTGTTGGGGGTCTTTCTCTTTTTTGCTGAGCCTCCACTTGACTTAAGCAGGATGTTCTTCAGAAACCCTGTACAGTTGGAACTGAATCAGCACACTAAACAACAACAAAAACAAGTTAAAGAGTCACTATGGGTTGGAAGCCACTCAAGGGCAACAGGTGTGCTTGGTTTGGTTTTACTTGAGAAAAAAAGTCCAGACTCAAATAAGCTTGGGAACCATTGTATTCAACAAGTTAAAGGGTTTCTTTGTTAGAAGATTTCTCCATGCATTTAATATGCAAATGCATGCCGAGAGTCCTCCAATGGGATATAGGCAATATTTCCCAAATGTAGCTGATCTTGAAACACATTTTTCAAATGTCATACTTATTAATAGAAAACATTTGGGAAAATGTGACTTTGATACTATTTGTTTGGCCATAGGAGCCTGGAGAAGGCTTCACAGAGAGGGTATTTAAATTTAAGCAGGGCCTTGAGGCTTGATTAGAAGTGCTTCTGAGACAAACCCAAACCCAGTGCTATGGAGTTGATTCCAACTCAGACTGTGTATAGGGTTTCCAAGGCTGTACATCTTTATGGGAGCAGAAATTTCCTCTTTCTTTTGAGGAGTGGCTAGTGGATTTGAACAGTGGGCCACAGGGCTAGCAGTCCAGTGCTTTTTCTACAGTGTTTAAAGGGTGCCGATTGCATTCCAAGGCCAACGATTCTCTAGTTACTCTACATACACTGATCACTAAGTCCTCAAAAGTCCTGATGTGGGTGACATAGTTAAGAAAGTCATCAAAAGCCGCTGGAGACTTCTACAGAATCATCTCAGCTCTGGGCCTTATTGCCCCAATCGTTAATCTTTAAATTCTAGCCCTGCTCTCAATCTGGTCCTTTGGGGATTTAAATCACAAATACTTTTTATACGCTCTGTACTTGATCACTGCCTTAAAACAAAACAGAACAAAACAACCCAATAACCTCATATCCTGACTCTAATTTAGACCTCCTATCAAGTTTAACCTTGATCCTAACTTAGATTCCTCTCTCAAGTCTGACCCTGACTCTAACTTAGCCCTCTTTCTCAGGCTTAAAACCTTGACCTTGCCCCAGTATAATCTGGCACTGGTAGTGAAGCAGGCAGCCTGCTAGATCAACACACCCTGGTATAGTCCTGGCTCATCCTCGGATCGCGGCTCAGCCTCTGGTGTAGCTCGCCCTGAACCATTCTAATGCTGCAACTGTCTCCAAGTCAGCGCCCCTCGACTCCTGACAGTAGCTCTGCCCTTACACAGTTCTGATTCAGCTCCGGCCCTGACCCTGTCCCATCCAGGTACCTGGTTCTGCTTTGATCTAATTTGTTTTCACAGTCCCATGCATTTATCCCTTACCATACCCAAGCCATGCGCCCGACCCCACTCCAGGTCTATCACTAATTTGGACGGACCAAAGCCCCGACCTTAGTGCCCCGCCCCCTCACCGCGGTCCCGCCCCGCTCGGAGTCAATTCTGACCGGGCCTTGACCACTGTCCAACCCTGACCCCGCCACTACCGGCCCCGCCCCTTCTCGGCCCCGCCCCCGCCCGAGGCCCGGAGGGCAGCGCACCTGCAGCTCCTCGAAGGCATCATCAATGCCGGTGACCTGGTGCTGCTCGTGCAGCGCTGGCTCGTCGCAGAAGAAACACAGCAGCGCGCGGTCCGTGAGGCAGAAGAGTTTGACCTTGTCGTGTGCCTGGCAGGGTCGCACGGCGCGGCGCGCGTTGAGGATGGCGTCCAGCGGGAAGGCGCTGTAGCGTTCCACGATGTTGGCCAGCTTGAGGCTGGGCGCGAGCGCGGGCTCGGCGAACGTGCGCCGACACTCCGGGCAGTCGCGGGCGCCCTGCGCCTCCTGCCGCACCCAGTGCTCGGTGATGCAACGGCGGCAGAAGTAGTGCTCGCAGCCCAGGCTCACCGGGTCCTGGTAGATGCTCAGGCAGATGGAGCACAGCAGCTCATCCTTGAGGCTGCACGCCATGGCGCCGGGGGCAGCGGTGCGGGAGGCTCGAGAGGCAGGGGGGCGGCTGAGAGCTCGCGGCGTGGAAGGGGGCAGCACTGAGGGATGGGTGCGGGGACGGGGCCCGGAGAGGCTGAGGGGTGCTGTCCGACAGGGAGGTAACACGGAGAAAGGGGTGCGAGGGATAGGAGCTACCCGAGACGCGGGCCCAGGAGGGTGGTCTCGAGGTAGTGGGTAACCTAGAGGGATGGGTGCTGGAGGGACAGGGCCGTGGATGTCTGAGGGGAAGGACTCCTGGCGAGGAGGTTCTAGGGGTGGGGACAGTCTTAAGGGATGGGTACTGGGAGAAGGGGATCCAGGATGGGGGCGGAGGCCTTGGGGGGCTTGAAACCCCAGGGTGGGGGTAGTGGGGGGAGGGGGAGAAGACGGAGGTGGGTGGTGGTGGGAGAGGGGGAGGCTAGGCCGAGTTGCACGGCGGCTGTGTCGGGCACAGCAGAGGAGGGGTGCGGGTCCATTCAGTGGCCCGATCCCAGCCCCAAGCCCGGGCCTTGAGCGGCCCCTTACCGTGGCCGGCTCAGCTGCCACCGCTCCGGTCCCAGCGCAGCCTCCCAAACCGGAACCAGCCGAGCCCAAGCAGCCGGCGGTCGAGGCTTGCTCCCCGCCCCCGTGGGCGGGGCCCATGCAACTCCACCTCCGCGGTGGGCGGGGGAGAGGGGGGCAGAGTTCCAGCTTCTAAGACTTCCCCCACCCTCCCACCACCACCACCACCACCACCTCAGTCTCAGCCTCCACCTATCCTTCCTACCCAACTGTTCGTTCGCTATCTGCACGTAAAATAGCTTGTAGGTTTCGATTGGGTCCTGATGGTACGTGGGAGGGCTCTTTTAGTGTGAGGAGCTAACTAAACAGGGAACATTTTGCTGGATCATTGCTTTGAAGACGTAAGGAAGATAATATTTTGTACTTAAACAAACAAGGATAAATATGTTGAGTAATCGGCATAAAATACCTTTGCATAAAGTATGCAGCTAAAACTTGCGAAATACTTAGAACACGTTCAAGTCCCCATATACTACGATTTCCTCTTTGCTTGCTTCAGGAGTGCCTGGGAGAGACGTTTGGAAAGCTCTGGCTCTGGCTAATGTGTGACCCAAGGAGTCCCCTTCATTCAGCAAACATTGCTAGGTTTGTGTGAAGGTTGGGGGAGGTGGGAGGTGGAGCAGGAGGAAGAGCGAGTAATTGGAGACCTTGACTAGTATGCCAGATGGAGAGGGGATAAGGGATTTCTAGGTGGAGAGGCAGCATGTGCAAAAGCACAGAGGCGTGAAAGCGAAGGACACATTTGTGGACAGTGCCAGATGGGGGTGGGATAGGAAAAGGTTTCGAGTATGATGGAAGGCCTTGAGAGTCATAGTTTAGAATTTCATGAAGACGGTCGACTTTCAAGCAGGCATCTCATTTGGGTTGCAGCAAGTCACACAGAAGCTGATTTTAGTATCAGCAAGGTAAAGAAATGGAGTCCTGGTGTAGCCCTGTGGGTTAATGCGCTGGACTGCAAAGTCGGTTTGAAACGCAGAGTTGGCAGTTCAAGCTCACCAGTCGCTCCTCAGAAATCCTATATGGGTCGCTATGGGTTGGAACCGACTCGACTGCACTTAACAATAGCAACAAGGTGAAGGAAGAGATCTGTTCAGATGTGTCTGCATATACAAAGTGCCTGCCACAAATAAAGGTGTGTAGCTGAGTCCTGGGAATGTGGTGGCCCTGTAGGATTGACACTGGGCTGCGAAACACAAGTTGACGGATTGAGCCCACCAGCCACTCAGTGGGAGAAAAATGAGACTTTCTGCTTCTGCAAAGATTACAACCTCTGAAACTTTATGGGTTGCTATGAATCACAGCAGAGAAGATGTGGAATGTAGGAGGAGAGATTAGGTACAAGTTGGGACACTATTGTCACAGTCTCAGAAGTAAGTGAGACCTGAACTGCAACCATGACAGACATGAGTAAGGAGAGAACCCAGAATACTGACTATATGTTGTTGTTGTTGTTGTTGTTGTATGCTATTGCGTTGGTTCTGACTCATAGCAACCCTGTATAGGATTTCTGAGGAGTGGCTAGTGGGTTTGAACCACTGATCTTGTGGTTAGCAGTCCAGTGCTTATCCTACAGTGCCACAGCAGGACTCCATTGTAAGTATTGTTATTGTTAAGTGCTGTCCAGTCAGTTCTGACTCATAGTGATCCTACTATATAGGGTTTCTGAGGACCCCCTGGTAAGTTTGAATCACAAACCTTACTGTTCAAGCCGACCTTGCTGTCCAGTGCTTATCCTACAGCACCTTACCAAGATTCCATTGAAAGTATGTTGTTGTTAAATGCCTTCGAGTTGGTTCCAACTCATAGTAACTCTTTATAAGGTTTCTAAGGAACAGCTGGTAGGTTAGAACTGCTGACCTTGAGGTTCAAACCGACCTCGCTGTCTCGTGCTTTCCTACAGTGCCAGACCAGGACTCCATTGAAAGTATGGACAGTATAAACTTTAGTGATGGGTTGATGTGGGGTGAGAAGAGGAGCATTGAGGGTGGCTCCCCAGTTTCTGCCTCCAGAAATGTCCTCACTGAGTTCAGCTTCGTTGAGGTACAATTTAAGAGACAGTTCTAAGCTTCAGTCCTCTGCTGTTTACATGTTCTCCCTCAGACCATCATCTGGTCCAGAGTCTACATCCTGTAACAAGTTGGTTACTGATCCAATAGCCATTCATCAGCTTTTCCTTACAAATGCAGCCCTGTATTTATTCACTTGTCCTTCTCTCACATGAGACTGATGGAAAGCTGTCTCCAGCCCAATTCCAGGAATAAGTCCTATTTGGACCAAGTCTCATTCCTTTTACTTCTAAGGTTTGGGTATGGACATGTAATGAAGGTCTGCCCTTAAAAACCTAAAGGGGAACCTATGGTGAACAAGGGTGAGCAGACAGGTTCTACAAAGGATCTCTTCACTTTCAAAAGCAATCTACCTCCATTTGCTGGTAGTAGATGTGTTTGGTAGTGATGTTGGAGTAGATTTCACAGTTGGGCAGCCTGGAATTGGACCAAATCGGGGCCCTCTGTTCTATCGAATGGTCTTTATAAATTATTAAGCTCAGCTCCCTCTCTCCGTCTCTCTCCTATCATATCAAGCTTTACTTGAGCCCCAATGAGACACCCCTGCACCTTTCTCAGTCGGTGAACCTGCCTCCCACTCCATCAAGAAAGTAGAGCCTCTCCACGAGGTCTTTTCATCTTCCAGTTCTTTTCAACCTATCTACTTAGACCTGGTGTGGTACTGTAGGATCAGCACTGGATTGCTGACTGCAGGTTGGTGGTTCAAACCCACAAGCTGCTCTTTGGAAACCCTATACAGGGTCATTTTTTTTTTTTAAATGAATATATATATATATATATATATATATAGGAGCTCTGGTAGCGTAGTGGTTACGAATTGGGCTGCGAACCTTAAGGCCAGCAGTTCGAAACTACCAGCTGCTCCGCGGGAGAAAGATGAGGCGTTCTGCTCCCGTAAAGATTTACAGCCTCGGAAACCCTGTACAGGGTCGCTATGGGTCGGATCCGACTCGATGGCACTTAACAACAACAAAACAACATATATATATATTAATGCTTTATTGTGAATTATGTGATAGTTTACATGGGAGGGCATCAGCTTCACATTGATCCTGTCGTATATCGCTTCCTTGCCATGGTTACAATCCCTTCCATGTATCATCGATCAACCAAAGTTTCCAGCCGCTCTAGCTCCCCATGTCATCATCTCTGCCTCCATCCCTGGCATCACTGCTTCTCTGGGTAGGGTTCCGTTCTCTGCTCTTCTCCTTTGATGGTCCCAGGGACCTCCACTCCTAGACTGTAAGGTTAGTCACTCCCCTCCCTTTGCCCCAAAATGTCCACCTTTACATTTCCAGCCCTTACAATCAGTCCTGATAACAATTATTCGCTATTGCATCACAAGAGACCTATTCGCATCTCCTTTTATCAGCCCTGACTAGGCAGAATGGATACTACTCAGTGGAGATTCTACCTTGCTCCATGCCATCTGAATCTAGGTTTCCTCTTGAAAGCTTGTAAGCCAGTCACTTCTTGCCTCTATAGCCCCCCCCATTCTGGGTAGCCAATGTCCAAGTTGCCCATCCCTGTCTTCTCCATGTGCAGAGGAGGTGGGAATGATCCTCGCTGTGAAGATCAATTCACTCTTTTGAGCTATTGCTTCCATAGGTGTGTGTCAAGTTCATCAAATTGTGTCAGATTACTCTTTTTTCCTTCTTTCTTCTTCTGTTTGAGCTCTGATCATCCAGCCATTAAAGCCAGGTCAAGTGGGTATTATCTGCAAGTGTGGGTGTTCTTATGCACTTGCCCTCTCTTCTGATCAGCTGGGTGCTTCACTCTCGACTCTAGGCCTCTGTGGCTATGTCACTGACTCTGGGTCCAGGAGTTCCCTGGACTTGGCACACTGCTGGCCAAGCAGGTTTCCATTTGGGTTCACAGGAGTCTATTGAGTGTTGTAGGGCTTAGCTTGCAGCTTCATTGCTGTTTTTCCCTCACTTTCCCTTATCAGTGACGAAAGTGGTCACCAATCAGAACATGCATTCCCATTGAGCCTTAGTCTTAGAAGGGGATTTGCCTTGAGGAGAACCCGACCCCTTGCCTTGATGTCTCCTTGGCGAGCCACTTGTTTGTTCTTATAGCAGTCAGTCAGCCTGCCTATGTTGTTTTGTGTTTTTCATGTCAATCTTTCTTTCAGGACATATCTTCTATTCTTCTGACCTTTCCCCTTACAGGGTCATTTTGAGTCAGAACCAACTCAACTGCACGTAACAACAACAACTTAGGTATAGGAATGCCTTAAGTCCTTTGTGAGATGAGGCAGAATGTACAATAAACAAATGGGGTGAAGTCAATGAGTTTACATCTTCATTTGTCCTCCCCTCCTTTCCTCTGGTCTCAGAGGATGAAGTGTGACTT